GCGCACGCGCCCTATAGTGAAAATCTCTCAAAAAAAAAAAAAAAAAAAAAAACATGTCCGGTGTGTGTGCATGTATACTGATGGGATAGAGAAATGGAGAAAAAAAAGATCATGGGGGCCAGCAGGTGGCATGGTGGTTAAGAGCGCTGGACTCCCACGTGACTGATCACAGTTCAAGTCCTGGACCTTGTAGCTTGCTTTCTCACTTTCCTTCTCTCTCTCTCTCACTCTGTCCTTCTCTGGTCAAATTTTAAAATAAATTAATTAATTTAATTTAATTTAAAATATTTTTCAAAAAAGGGATTATGGCTTTTCTTTTTGTAGAAGCAGATGCAGGTGGTATGGAGCTCTGGTCAGCCCGCTCTGCTCCTGACTCACTGCTGTTCACTCTTGCCGAGGAACAAGTCATGCCACATGGCTTTTAAAGATACTGGAAAAACACCTGTGGAGCCAGAGGTGTCCATTCACTGAATTAGAATTACTTTAACCAGCCACAATGTAAAGTCCCTGCAGAAAATGTGGGCTGATTTAACAGAGGTGCTAAGGAAAAGAATCTCAAGGTGAAAGAACCAGTTCGGATGCCTACCAAGACTTTGAGAATCACTACAAGAAAAACACCTTGTGGTGAAGGTTCTAAGACTTGGGTTCGTTCCCAGAGGACAATTCATAAGTGACTCATTCATTTGCACAGTCCTTCTGAAATTGTTAAACAGATTACTTCTGTCAGTACTGAACCAGGAATTGAGGTTGAAGTCCATTGCAGATGCCTAAGTCAACTGCTTTAATAAATTGATTATCATATATTAAAAATTAAAAAAAAAAAAGGATTGTGGTGTGGCAATGCCTTATTTAAGAGTGTTTCCTTTATTCTTCTCTCTTTCTGGCAAGTACATGCCCCTGTGATGTTTAAAGTATTATCTTGTAAATTCAACACATGGAATCTGTTTATGATTGATGCTCATATTTTCTGTAAAGACCTACAGTACCATAGGACTGTTTTGTTTGTCCTAATACCATTTACATGTTTAGTATTTAGAAGTAGGTGTTAGACTACATAGATTGAAAGATAGGATTTTGTTCCTACCAAAATGTATTTGAGAACGCTAAGTAGATGCTGGATATAAGGTGAAAAATTAGGAAAGCTTCTCTCGTACTTCTGTATTAGTAATAGGGATTCACAGCATATTAAACAGGACTGTTTTTACAGAAATCATTGACACTGGAGGATGTGGCTGTGGAGTTCACCTGGGAGGAGTGGCAGCTCCTGGGTCCCGCTCAGAAGGACCTGTACTGGGATGTGATGTTGGAGAACTACAGTCATCTGGTGTCACTGGGTAAGGATAGTTCCCCTCTGTCACCCAGAGAGTGCACGGACACTGTTGTCTTCTTTTTCACCTGATGAAAGTGTTGCCATTGCTGTGTAACCAGACCAGCTACAGGTTTTGTCCAGTGACCTAACCCACCTGAAGGCTAACACTTGAGAGACAAGTGTTGGTGGAAAGGAAAGGTAGCTTTATTCAGGAAACTGATGACCTGGGAAGATGGCAAACTAATGTTCAAAACCATCTCCAAAATCACAGACTGAGACGAGGGATTTTAAAAGAGAGAAATGAGAGATTTTAAAGGGGAGAGAAGTGAGGCTAGTAGGTATATAGGGGTTAAGGTACTGGACTCCAACTTGGTTGACTGCTGTTTTGAGTCCCAGACCCAGCAGCTTTAAAATCATGCCAAGCACATATGCATGTGTGCCCAAAAATCCTGCAAGGAGAAGGGATTGTGGCATGGCCATCTCCTTGGAGGGTGATTTCTCACTTTCTGTTTAATCTCTGTTTCTCTCCAGTAAGTGCCCAGGCCCGATGGTAAAAAAATAAAAATAAAAATAAAAATAATAAAATAAATAAAAAGTAAAACTAAATAAATTGATAAATGGGAGAGGAGATAAGGGGAGTGACAGCTGGAACTACATGCTATTTTGCACAGCACAGCAGTTCAACATCTTGACCAGGTCCACAGAGGGGTCTTGTCAGCATCAGGGCTGTTATTCTCATCTGTGCCTATGTTGGCTATACCTGGCCATTGAGGCAGAAGTTATCTTTCTTGAGCACTTATGCTTCTTGAGTTGTGGTCTCAAGGCCTAGTCTCTGGTCTACAAAAACTCAGCAAAACTATGATCAGTTTCTATAAGCTAAGTACTAAATAAGACTTACTATGTCAAAGAAAGAAAACAAACTAAAGGCCAGATTACAGTATTTTAACCTGTGTATTGGAATTAATATGAAGTTACTGGGACCAGCAGTTAGTGTAATGGCTATGTCGCTGGACTCGCATGTAGTCAACTGCGGTTCGCGTCCCGGACCCAGTGGCTTAAAACTCCTCTCACAGAGGAGAAGGGATTGCGGCGTGGCCCTCCCCCCTGGGGGGTGATTTCTCGCTTTCTGTCTCTCTCTGTCTGGCGAGCACATGCGCCCTATAGCATAAAACCTCTCCAAAAAAAAAAAAAAAATGAAGTTACTTTGGTTTCTGTTGTAGCCCGGCAACATCTGTCATGTCCTGAAGTATTCATCTTTCACTCTTTTCTCTGTCCTCCAACAAAGCAGCAATGTTCCCTATTCTGAAAGATAAATTTTACTTGCTATATGAGAAATGGTTTTGTTTATCAAATGTAGTATCTATGCATGTTGACATATTGTACCCCAATTCAGTGTGTCTAAGCCATTTATCTTTTCTCATAAACAGGGTATCAAGCTAGCAAGCCACAGGCACTTACCAACTTGGAAGAATGGGAAGAACCATCAACAATAGAAGATAAAATCCATAATAGAACATGTCCAGGTGAGTGAGTGAGAAGGAAAGCAGCTTCCAGTTCACATTCTAGTCCTTAAGGGAAGGTGCCACCTAAACAGCTCATTCAGCCTAACATATTCATCTCCCCATATGAGAATTTTTGTTTTTAGGTTCTTAGCTTTAACTGTACCTTCTTATTTCTAATTTTATATGTTTCTTAGTTATTTCATGTTGTATCTTTATGTTTTTTTATTAATTTATTTCTTCCATGAGTGAGAGATAAAGAGAGAGATGGAGAAACAGGCATCCCCAACTGGGTCTTCAAGCCTCAATCCACCCCGAGGTTCTGCCAACCTGGATCACAGGCACATGTACACTCAACATGATCAGGGAGGTCTCCAGACACCAACTCAAAACCTTCCCTTGTGGTTCAGCCTCATAGAGCAGAGCATTGCATTAATGCTGAACCATCATCCAGCCCCCTATAATTTTATTTTATACTGGGATTATACCATTGCCAGTACAGAGCCAGACCCCACCAAATCTTTTTTTTTTTTTTTTTTTTGAGAGAGAGAGAGTTTTGCTGTAAGACACTTGTGCTCATCAGAGAGACAAAGAAATAGAAAGTGAGAAATCACTCCTCAGGGGGGATGGCCACACCACAATCTCTTCTCCTTCATTCTCCTCTTGGGATTTTGGACATGTATGCACATGCGCCCAGCATGAGTTTTAAACTCCAGGCCCAGGACTTGAACAGCAGTCAATTACGTGGGAGTCCAGCAATATAACCATTATGCCAAATGCTGGTTCCAACCACCAAATCTTTTTTTGGGGCGGGGAGAAGGGGAGTTTTTCGCTATAGGGTGCATGCACTTGCCAGAGAGACAGAAAATGAGAAATCATACCCCAGGGCAGATGGCCACGCCACAGTCTCTTCTCTTCCATTCTCCTCTTGGGATCTCAGGCAGGCACGCACACATGCCCAGTGTGAGTTTAAGCCACCGGGTCTTTGACTCAAACCATGGTCGACTACATGGGAGTCCAGCAACATAACCATTATGCCATCAGCTGGTCCCCATTTTTTAAGTATTTTTATCCCATACCAATCTCATGGAAAAATTAATTAATCCCTTGTTCCCTAGGAATCAGGAAAATTAACAGTCATCTGCAAGAACACTCTCAAAACCAAAGATTTCTAAAGTGCATGCAACAATGCAGTGAACAGAACACATTTAGAAATGTTGTTCATCTGAGTAAAACACATTTTCCTCTAATGCAAAATCATGATATGTTTGATTTCTATACAAGAACTCTGAAATCAAGTTTAAGTTTAGCCAACCAAAAGAGAAGACTTGAAATAAAAAACCCTGTTGAGTTTAATGAAGGTGAGAAAGCCCTTTTATATGGTAAGCATGAATATATATATACTGAAATTAAATCCCCTGAAAGTGCAAAATGCATCAGTACTAAATTTCAAACCTTTAAGAATCCAGGGGTTCACAAAATTGAGAAACTCCATGCATGCACTGAATGTGAGAAAAATTTCATCAGGAAGTCACAGCATACTTATCACGAGAGCATTCCCACAGGAGACATATCTGGAAGTGGTCCACTTGAGAAATTGCCCAGGAGTATCATGTTCACTAAGCATCAAAAAACTCATACAAGAGACAAATGCTGTATACCCAATGAATATAGAAAAGGCTCTCCTGTAAAGAACAATCTCATTGTACATCAGCAAATCCACATAGGAGAGAAATCCTACATATGCAGTGAATGTGGAAAAGGTTTCACCATGAAGCGCTATCTAATTGCTCATCAGCGAACTCACAGTGGAGAGAAACCTTACGTATGCAATGAATGTGGAAAAGGCTTTACCGTAAAGAGCAATCTCATCGTACATCAGCGAACTCATACAGGAGAGAAACCCTATATATGCAGTGAATGTGGAAAAGGCTTCACTATGAAGCGCTATCTTGTTGTCCATCAGCGAACTCATACTGGAGAGAAGCCCTACATATGCAATGAGTGTGGAAAAGGCTTCACTGTGAAGAGTAATCTCATTGTACATCAGCGATCTCATACAGGGGAAAAATCTCATATCTGTGGTGAATGTGGAAAAGGCTTCACTGTGAAGCGCACTCTCATTATACACCAGCGAACTCACACAGGAGAGAAATCTTACATATGTAGCGAATGTGGAAAAGGCTTCACCACAAAGCGCACACTCATCATACACCAGCGAACCCATACAGGAGAGAAACCGTATGAATGCAATGAGTGTGGTAAAGCCTTCAGCCAGAAGATATGCCTCATACAACATGAAAGATGTCACACAGGAAAGACACCCTTTGTATGTACTGAGTGTGGAAAATCCTATTCACACAAATATGGTCTTATTACCCATCAGAGAATTCACACAGGAGAGAAACCTTATGAGTGCAGTGAATGTGGGAAAGCCTTCACCACAAAGTCAGTACTCAATGTACATCAAAGAACTCACACAGGAGAAAGACCATATGGATGTAGTGATTGTGAGAAAGCCTTCTCCCACTTGTCAAACCTTGTTAAACATAAGAAAATGCACACAAGAGAAATGGGTAGATTCAGTCAAGTTGAAAATTCCTTTAACAGGTAGTCACAGATTATTACTTATGAGTGAACTCATGAAGAACAAAAACACTGTTAATCCAATGACTGGAAATGCCTTCTGTGGCAACTGAGACATCATTAAACATCAGTGTGTTTTTAGCAGATTGGAATGTAATCATGATACTGGCTGTTTCAGATGTGAGCCCTTGGGAGATTAAAGGATTTCCCCAGAAGATAAACCTGATGAATACAGTAAATACGGTAGTGCCTTTAATGATCCTTTATCTCACATTTTCTGTCAATGAAAACATGTTGGACAAACTCTGATACATTCAATGTAGAGATGCCTTGGGCAGAAATTTTTTGTTGTAAGTTTGACGTTTTACATAGTAGTGAGACAAATTCTGTGAATGCAGAGACTAGGAAAGCTTTTGTGAGATGAGAGACTTAATTATCAGGGTTCCTTGTGGGCCATTTAAGTGCTTTTTGTTAGGTCTAACCTCATTATCCATCAGATAATATACCTGAAGTGTATTTTCAGACAAGCTATCTTGAACCTTAATTCTAGTCCTCTTGTCAATGATTCTATAGTTTTTTTTTAAATCTATTTCATTTTATTTATTCATTCATTTATTTTAACTTGACGAGAGAGACACAGAGAGAGGGGAAAATGAGAAAGCAAGCCACCAGGTCTGGGAATCGAATCATGGTCGGCCATTTGGGAGTGTCCAGTGCCTTAACCACCACGCCACCTGCTGGTACCCAATGACTCCATAATTTAAGAAACTTGTCTACTGTACCCATCATTATTCACTTTTATTGTTAGATATGATTATAGAATAATAAATATATTAGTTCTTTTGTTCCTGGTTCCTGCTCAAAGCCCCTAAAACCCTTGAAATTACCTGAGTGATGGGAGTTATTTTTATTATTCATAGCAAGACTCTTATTATTCTCACCTGAATTTATTTTCACCTAGTTACCTAAAGACCTAATTAAAAGGTAGGACCTTTCAACCCTTTTCCCTCCACCTCCTGGAAGGGCAGTTGGGCTGGTAACTGAAGTGAATAATGAAATTCAAAGAGCTACCAAATTGGTAGGGTATACCCCCAACTCTACAGGAACAAAGCCTCTAGACTTTGCTGTGTACCTCTTTATCTGGTCGTTGATTCATATCCTTTAAATCAGTCAACACAAGTAAGCTATTTTCCTCAGTTGTGTGAGCCATACTAGCACATTACTGAACCTGAAGAGGGAGTCATAAGAATCTTTGATGTGAGGACTTGGAATTAACATCTGAAGGAGGGCTGTAGTCTTGTTGGACAGAACCTCTTAGCCTGTGCAGTCTGCACTAAGGGTAGTTGGTGTCAGAACTGAATATTAGGACACCCAGTTGGTACAGAAAATTGGAGAATTGATTGGTGTCAGAAAAACACTCCAGAATCATACAGAGGTGTTCTATGACTACCTCATGCTATTTCATTAACTCCTAATTTTTCTTTGGCTCTAAATTTAATTGTGAACTTCACATACAAAAGTACTTGGAAAGGATACCAAATATTTTAAATGTATAAATGTAAATACATATTTGGATTTATATATATATATATATAACCAGTTTACAAAATCACCTTCAAATTAATTTTTTTGAAAGGTTTTTTTGCTATAGGGTGCATGTGCTCACCAGAGACAGAAAGCAAGAAGTCACTCCCCCAGGGGGGATGGCCGTATTGCAATCCCCACTCCTCCTGGGATCTTGAGCTCGCATACACATGCACCAGGCAGGAGTTTAAGCCGCTGGTAGGGGACTCAAACCATGTCAACTACATGGGAGTCCAACAATGTAACCATCCCATCTGCTCCTCCTATGCTGGCCCCTATTTTTAAAATTTGCTATAGGGCACATGTGCCCACCAGAGTCAGAGAAACAGAGAGAGAGAGAAAGAACCACAGGTTGGCCATGTGGGAATCCAGCACCTTAACCACCATGTCACCTGCTGGCCCCCATATCTGTGTCCTTTTTGAAAAAGAATTGTTTAATTTATCATAATTTTTTTATTTGGCCAGGCGGAGACAGAGACAGAAAGTGAGAAAGCAAGATGCCAGATCAGGGACTCAAACGTGGTCACCAATGTTGGAGTCCAGCACCTTAGCCACCAGGCTGCCTGCTGCCCTGGTACTGTCCTTTCTTTATCCTCCGTTGTTCCCATCGGTATGATAGAATAATGATTGCTTTCTTCCTTTTTCTTGCTTTTACTCTGTGCTTTATCATTCTCTCTTTTCGTTCCCACCGAGTCTTGTTTCCCTAATTTCTAGCCATTTGTCCTGAGTCCTGCCCTCAAATTTGGCCCCGCCCGGTCACTGTGTCCATCCCCCGCGTTGGGTACGGAATGTCCTGGCTCTCAGTGGCCTTTCCTCCTGCCTCACGGCCCGACGAAGCCTTGGCGCGCCCCGGCCACTCTCACTTCCCGTCCGTGCAGCTTTCTGAGCTCTCCAAACCCTGTTCTGTGTCCCAAAGTGGGTGCGCCCGCTGGGCCGTGTGTCACCGAAGTGGGAGGACGGGGCGGCCATCTTTACGTTCTACTCGCGCCCGACTTCCTGCCTTGTGAAGCCGGCGCCCTGCACATCGAGGCGTTTCCGTCAAGGGTCGCGATGCCTGGGGTGGGACAGTTGCTGGGGCCTTTCGTGTTCGCCGCGGTCCCGGGTTCTCGGAGCACAAACGCCCGCTTTGCCTTGTGTGCGCCAGCTCCTCCGAGGGCCTCCCCGCGGCGCCGCCATCTTCCCGGCACCGGCTGGGAGCCCGGCGTGCTCTGCGCGCAGGCCCGGCCGCTGAGGCCCGCCAGGGGGCTGGGCGGGCCGGCCCGGT